GATTATCGCGATGCAATAAATATTGTGATATATTGCAATAGTTTGTATTAGTATGTGTGTCATGTTATATTGACAACTTGATGAAGTCAGCAGACAAATTAAAATTCCTATTTATTTTCTATTCATTTCAATTCATTAGAACTGCACTGTTCTCGAACAGAGAACTCACAGAACTGTATTAAATGTAGGGGTGTCAAAACTAATCATTTCTTCTGTGCACCGTGATGCAGACGCGGACAATTCGGTATCGGTTCAGTAATAATCATAACCGTTTATTACTGACATCATTTACCTCGTATGCGGTCTGTCGCGAAGAAGGCGATCGCGAGTATTTACAACGCTCTAACTACTTAAAACTCAAACTGTGCACAATTTCACTGTGTGTGGTTGCTGGATCAGTCTTTCACTGACATTTACAACAAAAGCCCCTCTCTCTTTCGCTCTTGCTCTCTCACACTCACACAGTGGCCCATTTGACCTGCTGGCATGGCTTTTCTTCTCCTCTCGGCTGTTTTACACCATTACTGCTGGATAAAGAAACGAGCGGGTATCTGCAGAGTTTTCTCCACCGTGTCTATCATACATCAGCTGTGAGATCACCGCCTGCCGCTCAGTGTCACTCATCTGTGAAGAGCACAGCGTGCAAGAGCTAATCGCAACCGTTTTTGTTGAGGGTCTGACCAATCAAAGAGGTATAAGAGAACTAGACAAGGATCAAAAATTGAGCTGGATATTTATGTTTGTTTATATTATTATTTGCTTAATGCTCGTTTTATTTAAAGTTACAGTTTATATATCTGACTGTTTGTATTAAATGACAAAATTGTATTACAAATAATATATAAATATATTCATACATTTTAATACAAGAACTGCTGCTGTGAAGAAAATATTAAACTTTGTATGAAAAGCACCGTGATGCACCGAAATATCGAATTGAACTGAATCGATGGCATGATAATCGTAACCGAACCGTGAGAATAGTGTAGGTTCACAGCTCTAATTAAATGCATATTGTTATTTACACTGAACTAAAATAATTATGCCACTAAAGTCACATATAAATTAAATAAACAATTTATAAGCAAGTTGTTATGCTCAATGTAATCGATTAACCGAAAGGGTGCGTTTGTAACCAATTAATGGTATCAGTTAAATGATTAAAAATATTATTTTATATATTTTTAGTTTGACTGCATAAAGGACCGATCGAATGGTTTCTAACGGCCGCAAGTGTTTTGCACGCGGCTCATCCCTGAGCAGCAGTTTGTGTTGTCAAGACAACTAGAGAGAACTTTTAAAGAGCATGGTTTCCACTACAAAATATAAACATTATGCTGTGAAAACTGGTCGCACATGGGTAAATTGATGGCTTGCACGAAACATTTTACATGCAACAAACCGGCCAGCTGTGCTGCCACGGTCATGTTTGACGTGTTGTCTGTTACAATGACAGGACCTTCCAATTTATGTCCCATTCTTCCTAAGCAGTTTTCAGTAACTGCAATTTTAGTCGAGGCAAACAGAAGCTTGTTGATGATGTTATCCAGTGAAGTTTTCCTTGAATCAAGAGGTTTCGTTGAGGTCGCAGTGCCACTAATTCATCTGCATGGTGTCTTGTTAAGTGATGACGCAAGTTCGTAGTGTTTCCCGAATATTTTAAGATAGATTTGCAAAGCTTGCAAATGGCTTTTTTTTTTCTTTCTAATTCAGCACTCTGTTATAGTGTTAAGGCCAAAGTGCAGCCACACGTCAGCTCTAAAAGCTGGATGCTCCTTTATATTTTCCACTATGCTCACTCTTGCTAACTGCTGGTACCATACTACTTAGCGTTTTGTTGATAGCGAGTTAGCAACATCTACTGGAGCAAAGGAGGAGGTTGTTTGGCACAACATGAATCGATACTTCAGGTTGGACTAACGATACACGATCATGAAATAAATTATCGCAATAGATATATCGATATTTTTGCACAGCCCTATTCCTTGGTCATAAATCACTGCGTGTCATTACACAGCTGACTCAGAGCACGCCAATAGTGTAGTGGACAGTGCGTCGTTAATGAACAACGGAGCACACAGTGGAGTGAGTTCAAATCTCACTTACAGATCTTGTGTTTTTCTCTCCTTCTGCACCCCTCACATTTTTCTGTATAACATTACTAGAAGTGGCAGCTTTGTCTTTCGTAGGAAAATATGTCCATAATTTAAGATGTAGGACGTCGTTAATATGCATACATTCACGCACACACACCTACATTTTTTAATATAATTTTTTTCAGGGTTTCCAAATGCTATTGTGTGCATTAATTGCAGCCAGTTTTAAAGCTCCATCTGTCACTAAAGGACACTTATAATATGAAATCTGTCCATAGTATAAATGTGCAGGTAAAACTTAATTTTCTGTCCTTAATCTTTTGGTGTTTCAACTATTAAACTCATTACTGCTTCCACTTACCAGCTCATATGTAATGACCCCACCTCACCACCATGTTGTGGCTAAATGGCTGATTTTCAGGAAGTAATTATTCAAGTGTATAATACAAATATAGTAAAAAAAAAAACTGTGAAGCAAATGTTGCTTTACACAATGTTTATTTTTATTATATTTGTATTATACAATCAAATCATTACTGGGCACTACATTGTTATTTGCTGGAGGACAAAAGATACCAAAAGATATCCTTTTATGGTGACACTCTACCTGCAGCCTGACCCAGAGGAAATCGCAGTGACCCAAGCAGACAAAAGAGATGGAAGAGTGCTAAGAAGTATAATTTGTCAAAAAACTGTTTAATCAAATAGTTTGGTCTGTTCATTTCTCCATTTCCTGAAATAAAATGAATGATTTTTTTTTTATTACGACTGCTTTATACACTCACCTTTCAACGTGTAACATTTTTCATATACATATTTCTCACCTTAAGGTGATGCTCAGGTGACTTTAACTTTGAAGATGGACCTTATGCTACTTTAGAATTTAAACATAAACCGCTCCTCCTTTCTCTCTCCTTCTCCGCTTCACACACCCCTAAACTGCAGCCCAGTCCCGTTAAAGGACCTGCACATTTTACAACACGTGTAAACATAACGGATGTTTGTAATCTGATTATTTGTTATTGTCAACTCGTTGCTTGCCATGTGTTGTTGATGTAAGATTGTATTCAGTTTGATCAGAATATTCATATTGATTATATCAAGCGCGTGTGAGTGCTGTCACCACACACACACTGTAGCACGGGGGAGAGGAATTGCAATTTACAGCAAGAATAAGCGCATAAGCGTTGTCTGATTGACAAGCAGCACCTACACGTGTTCAAAAGGATGAATCTGTGCCGCATTTTCTAAATGTACTAAATCATACTATCCGTATTTAGCTGTTCACTTGTACGGTGGCTCTAAACTGTCAATACACCTCTAAAAAAGGCTTTTTCGGACATGACATTTGTACATGTGTACATTACTGTTTTATTCAAGACCATTTGAGCTGGTTTCGGTCCTTAGCTCTTTCATTTTCATCTTATTTAAATATATTTTGCTTGCTTCATGATTAAATTCCATTTTGTTATTTAACCTATTGTTTTTATGCAACAGTCAAGTTGCATGTTAATTTGCTTTTTGAAGAAAAGGAATGATGGATTGTTTGCATGCTGATTTATGTGAAATGGTGAATTTAGGTATATAATCACCTTGCAATTTTAAAGTTATAGCTTTTTTGCTTTGAGTAAAGACTATTCAGTTCATAAGAGCAGTTCAATCTTTTAAGAAGTTTGCTGTATAAAAATATACCATTTTGAAATATCTATAATTATTGGCCTTGACATATCGGCTATCGGCCTCCAAGTCTGAAGAATTATCGGTATCGGCCAAAAAAATCCATATCGGTGCATCCCTAAATAGAGGCCACTGGAGAAAAAAACAGCCATGAATATAACAAAAAGGGAGTTAATTTGCCGAGAATTTTTTTTAAAAGCATTTTCCAAGTGATGGGGAATTCATTGTGTCTTAATGAATTTATTACTCTCATTTACATGCTTATGAGTGATTTCAGTGTTGTTGTTGTTATTATTATTTTCTATTGTATTTTATTTGCAATCAAATAAAAAATGTTATAATAGAGGCCAATGGAGCATTTTTCCAGAATATTTTAAAATAAAATGTCCCCAAATATTAGTCCATTTGCTTAAACACCGAGAACGTTTTGGCCAAATTAAGCCTTACAATCACCCCAGAATGGATGGAAATGACCCAATAGCACACAAGGGGAAAGGTGCTATTTCAGCCTTTATGCAGATGCTGTACAGGTATGTCTCATGTCTGCGAGACTAATATTCAGCTGTTACTCCAGAACCTTTTTTCTGATGCGTTTACCAGTCAGGCACACAATGAACAAGTATTCCCTGTTTGCTTTACAAATTTTAGAAAAACATTTTTTAGTAATTATGATTATATAAAAAATAATAAAAATAATTATTTACAGCTTTCAAATATGTCTTATCAATATGACCAAAATGACTTTTATGATCAATTATGTAAGAAACTCTGAAAACTGGATTAACACAGTTTTAATTTACTATAACTTCTATTTTAAGCGGCTTTGACACAGTTTACATGGTAAAAGCCCTAGATAAATAAAGATTAATTGAATTGAATCTCCTTAAATGTGTACACGCTAATGGACTGAATAAAATATGATCTGATTTATTTTACATTTTAATGTGCATCAAAATTTCAGTATGTGTAGCCAATGTTTCCAGTGTCTTTTCACTTTTCAGCTTTTGATGAGATTTTTAAGACTTAATGAAAACTAATGTTTTATTTATTTTTATTTCAGACCTAATTGGAGAGAATGAGTGGAGTAAAGAAGAGGAACATCATGTCAAAATTGAGGAAAAAACTCATTTACAGACTGATGGTATTTTGCAAAGTAGAGACAAGAATTGTTTCACCTGCACTCAGTGTGGAAAGAGTTCTGGAAGAAAAGGCGATCATAAGATTCACATGATGATCCACACTGGAGAGAGGCCATTCACATGCACTCAGTGTGGGAAGAGTTTCAGCAAATCATCATACCTTAATCAACACATGATGATCCACACTGGAGAGAAACCATTCACATGCACTCAGTGTGGAAAGCGTTTCACCCTATCATCATACCTTAATAACCACATGATGATTCACACTAGAGAGCAACCATTCACATGCACTCAGTGTGGGAAGAGGTTTAACTGCTCATCATCCCTTAATAAACACATGAGGATCCACACTGGAGAGAAACCATTCACATGCACTCAGTGTGGTAATAGATTTAACTGCTCATCACACCTTAATCGACACATGAGGAGCCACACTGGAGAGAAACCATTTACTTGCACTCAGTGTGGGAGGAGTTTCAGCTGCTCATCAAACCTTTATCAACACATGATTATCCACACTGGAGAGAAACCATACACATGCACTCAGTGTGGGAAGAGTTTCAGCCAATCAACACACCTTAATCAACACATGAGGATCCACACTGGAGAGAAACCATTCACGTGCAGTCGGTGTGGGAAGAGTTTCAGCCAATCATCATCTCTTAATCAACACATAAGGATCCACACTGGAGAGAAACCATTCACATGCACTCAGTGTGGGAAGAGTTATAGACGCTCATCAACCCTTAATAAACACATGAGGGTCCACACTGGAGAGAAACCATTTACTTGCACTTGAGTCGCGCTCACACTGGACTTTTCTCCCCATAGATTTCCATATATACGCAAGCAAATGCGTCAGACCAGAAATGCAAGTTCGTGCATCAAGTTTTCACTGCATTGCAAAGTTCAAGCTTGGTGAACTCTGATCTGCGAAATCGCATCACTTGACAGTGTGAGACTAATGGGAAATCAAAACATGACCTCTCTGGACATATGTAAATTATGGACCAATCGCTCATTATGTCTAATTGTCTTGTTTAATCCCGCCTCTTTTGCAGCACTGTATAACAGAATTCTGCATGCTCAAACTCTAGTGTGACCGCAGCTTCGGTGTGGGAAAAGTTTCAGCAACTCCTCAGACCTTAATAAACACATGAAGGCCCACACTGGAGAGAAACCATTGACATGCACTCAGTGTGGGAAGAGTTTTAACCAATCAGCAAACCTTAATAATCACATGAAGATCAACACTGGTGTAAAAGAATATGTGTGCTTAAATGTGAGAAGACTTTTATTAAAGCGCCAAAATTGAAACTGCACCAGACGATTCACACTAGAGAGACCGTACAAGTGTTCACAATGTGACGAGGTTTAATCAGTGAACACATCTGAAAACACAAAAGAGGATTCACACTGGAAAGAAACCGTACAGATCTAATCAGTGTCTACAGAGTTTCGCTCATTCGATGCAGCTTAAGAAACACGTGGACAAAAAGCTCCAGGACGGTTAGTTTGCAGTATACCAGGGCCTCAAGTTTAGAAAGCCCATTCAATTGTCCTGTTTTGCATCTTTTTTTGTAAAGTTTCTTTACTTTTAGGTTCAAGATTCTTTCTAGTTTACTACATTTACTTTTTTGAGTAGAATACAAACTTGATGAATATTTTATGATTTAGGCAGAGTGACAGGTATTACAATACAATATTAATACACTTTGATGATCACAAGACTCCAGATTGGCATTACTCATCAATGGGTATATAAAAGTTGCTGTGCTAGCTACCCCAGGACGCTGTGGCTACTCAGGAGTCCTCATGTCAAGACCTGCCATCTCATTGACTGAGATCTCGTTGATCTCATTCAACATTATAATTAGCTAATTGCAGTGGAGATATCGTATAATTAGAACAGGGCAGCGGATCAGCGATAAAGCAGAGATTGGCCTTTGCAGAATGGGTAGTTATGAGACGGCCAATAATGAAGAAAGTGCAAGAGTAGCCTACTGTTCAAAGTTTCAGTTAGAGGAGTCAGAGGAAAATCTGCCATCATCCTGGGAGAAACAAGATCGCTTATATCCACGACTGCAGCACCTTGCAAGGAGAATCATTCCTACAACACACGGTGCAAACGAACGCTCATTCACTGCAGTCTGCAGCTGGCTGCGTTTTAGAGGCGAGGCGGAGAAGGCGCAGGGATATAAAGACAGGGAGAGAGCGCTTTTTCCTTTGATCTCGTTTTTGGTGTATTTTACTGACATGATTATGATTTTCCTTGTTTATGCTTAACTTTCGTTTGGGTAAAATTATTTTCCATTACGTTTGCCCACTTTGAGAAATGTAGTGAGTTTTGCTCATTTTTATTTAGATTAATTTGTATGTTTTTTTTTTTTTTTTTGGCTCTTTCCTGACGATATTGAGCTAGCCTATATCTCCTCAAGTTCACTCTTACCTCAGAGTTAGGTGGAAAGGGAAGATGTCGTACTACTTCCATTTTGCAAACACGTAGAAAATGTATTGTTAAAGACATCAGGTAAGAGGTGAATGTCATCTTTGTTTATTTTATTCAGTATAGGGAAGTGTTGTCATTATACACACTGCGCTGAAGGACTTTTTTTCTCTTGATCAGTTTTTAGCGAGGTAAGGGGTAATTCATAAATTAGAATTGTTTTGTTATATTTCTTTCTTTTGTTTGGCTTCACTATCATCCCCTTACTCGAGTTTATCTAGTTTTTGTTTGTTACTTTGTTTGAATTTGCTACATTATTATATTATTTTTATTATTATTTTATTTCTCTTTTTTGTATATATTTGGACATTATTCTGCTTTCACTTTTTTACATTAAATCACTTTAGTTGGAAGTTCTGTTGCAGTCTTTTGCTTTCACCCTTACATTGTGAAATTACCATAATAATTCTTATGACTAAGTTTCGTGAAAGTTACGACACATAGGCGTGCGCTTTTTCTATGACACAAATTCTGTTCCTGTACTCCACTGGAAAACCAAAATGCTTCGACACAGGCGACCTAACACAGGGAGCTGCAATCTCAATATATGTGAAGCAGCCATCCTGCGTATACAGTAGTAACCGAGTGATCTCTCACTCAAGTCACTTGACATGGCTTGCACTTGAAAAATACTAACTTAAGAATATAATATTTAGAACAAAATCTCATCATTATTACTATTACAATTTAATCAAATGTAATGAAATAAAGATGTTTAAATTGGTTCAATTAGGTAGAGACAAGCGACGTCAACCTCAACAAGGGGTAGCGGGGGGCGCGAGAGTACCACAGTACGTCATGAGAGTTTCACGATACATATCGTGGTTGGTGTATCGCGATATTTCAGTTCGGTTTTAATATCGTTACACCTCTAATATTAATGATTCTCTTTTTTATTTGTCTGATTTCATCTCTCTTTTATGTTGCATTACCATACACTGTGTATAATTACTTTCAGAGAGTCATGAAGTTGGAGGCCAGTCAAGTACCACATGAAATTATTTATGTTGACAAGGCTGGGGATCTCGCCGTGGGAGAAACGTAATAGACCAAAGGACCACAGTTACCGTGCCGGGCCATAGAAGATATCAAGTGTAATGTGGATGAGAACATGTGGCAAAAGACCGGGCAGAATTACTTTGTTATATTATTATAACTGTGGTCCTTTTGCAAATAAAGTCAGTACTGCAGCAATTCTGTGTCTGTATTTTTTACATAAACTGTAAATTTTATAAAGCTATAATTTTATAAAGCTATATTTTATAAAGAATTTTTGCAGTAAAAGAAAATGCCTGCATTTACTAAACCCAACAAAACAAAACTGTTGAGAGACTTCAAATATAAGAGCAGAGCTGACACAAAATAATGCAGTTTCATTAATGTCAGACGATTATAATGATTTTTATTGGAAGAGAACATGTTAGTGTTTTGAACAATAATTTCATATTGAAACATGTTTACAGTGTTTTGTTAGACATGGTGTATTGTGTTTGCTTATTATTGCATTTTGAAAAGTAGTTTAGAGGTTTAGTTTACAATGTGTGATTTTGATAAAATACAGAGTTGATTTTAAAATCCTTCTTTTCACTTATAAAGCAGTGCACAATTCTGCCCCGGCCTATGTCAGTGAACTTATTAGGCCTTGTTCAGCTTGTAGACCATTAAGATCCCATGACCAGTTTCTTTTGTCTGTCCCTCGGCCTCGCTGCAAATCAAATGTTGATCGAGCTTTCTGTGTTGCGGCCAAAAGGCTCTGGAACAGTCTCCCTCTGAACATCAGGATTTCTTCTTTATTGGATGCATTTAAATCTAACTTAAAGACTTAATTTTACTCTCTTGCCTTTGAGTGACGCATGCATGTTATTTATTATTATTATTGTTGTTTTTTTTTACTTGTATTTTAGTATTACTTTTAAACAAATACATTACCTTGTATTTTAATACCAGTTTTTTTTTTTACTTTTATTGTCTAGTTTATTTTATTGTAAAGCACTTTGGATAAACTACTGTTATGTAAAATTGTGCTCTATAAATAAAGCATGCCTTGCCTCCAGAGTCCACTTCTTCTTCACAGGCCACTCGTTGGCCACTTCACACCCATGCCATCTCCTCCTGAGCCTGAATGGTACTTCCGTCAGAGGATGTTCTTGTGGGCACCGATGAGAATTTGGGGGATTCCTCTTAAATGCCCACAGTGTAGCCGGAAGATGCACCTATCAGAGATCTACCCAAAGGTCAGGGAGGTGATACCCACGATGCAGTGCATGCAAGTTACCATTGTGTCAATGGAGCCAGGACATTCTTTCACAACTGGACGTGGCACACAGGAACCTGTTTCCAGCAGTTCTTACCACTCAACTAGCCCTGGACAGGAAATGTGTGACCTTCCTCAGGCCAAGTACAAGCGGGAATAGTTCCTCCTACTTTCAGGCTGCTGTTGAAGAAGTCCACAGTGAAGAGTGGGCCCGACGGACTATCCAGTACCTCTCTGATTGCGAGCATCATTTGAAAAAGTTTGCCCAGGTCCAGTCTGCAACTGTACCTGCCTTTTCTGCACCTGCACCGTTCCGGCCACTGCCACTCCCCCAGTGGTTTGAGACTTTTCACTCCAATGACATTGTCAGGATGAGATAAAAGGGGTGATTACCTTCACCTATGGCCATATCCTGAAAATGGATTCTACAAAAAAGGTACAATACATGATGGTTTGACTAAAAGATTTATCTTCAGCAGTTGATGTAAATAATTAGAATAGATTGAATTTCATTGTAATCCTAAAAGTGTGTGTATTTGTGACAAATAGAAGGAAATGTATTTCGGGCCTACCAAAATGTATACTTTTTTATGGTTGATTTCCAGGTTACCAAAAAGCTGGCTCGTGCCATTGGGGACTCGGCAGCATGGATGATCAACATTGGGAATGAGCTTGGTCAGGTTTTTGAACAGTGTTCTTACAACAGTTGAAGTTGCAGGACTGGAGGAGCAGGGCATCGTCAGATGCTACCAGAATGCTGGGGAGCCAGAGTCTAAGGTCATCTATGTTGACCGGTATTGCTGCAGTCAGTCAGGTGAAATCTTATTAAATGTGCAGTGCATTTGACAAAAATTTAAATGCTTACTTTTCCTAATGATGAAAATCAATTATTAATTAATAAATACTGACGCCATCATTAAAATTGTATTTAAAACATTTGACTTTTTACATTTAAAAATAAACAAATATCTGAATAAAAACAACAAGAAAATGCAGT